CCCCCCCCCCTACCCACACACTGACTCACATCCCCCACATCCCTCCACACCGACTCAAATCCCCCCACCCCGCTTCCCACCCCCTCCTGCAAACCCCACATCCCCCCATCACACACCCACCATGTGATAAGGAAACCAAAAGCAAACATTAAAACATAGATATTTAGGATTTATTTTCTTATGATGCTAGAGACACTGGTAGGCTTCCATATTTCTTTAACATTGTAAATATAGCAATAAAACATTGCCCATCTGATCAATCAATCTCTCTCTCTCTCTCATTCTAATTGTGGAAGAATGTGGATTTGGGGGTATTTTAAAAAGTGAATTTGGTATGCTGCTTCAGCAGTCTAGCTGACACAAGGGGCTAGTGTCCACAGATACCACATGGCTGGGTCTCAGAAGCTCCTGTCTATTTGTAACATTGAAATACCGTGGACCCTAAGGTCCACCCAGATAACTACTAGCCCCTATTGTATGGGGGCTAATGGGTGAATACTACAACAAAATACTTGGGACAACTAATGAAAAAAACAGGATAGGAGTGTCATGTGAATCAAAGGGTCAAAACATGAAAATAAGTGTGCCTGAGGGGGACACCAAGCAGAGGCCCCTGGGCTGCACCCTCAAGGCATCCAAGGAACTGGTGGATACTGCCCACTGGTGCTCTGCACAGAAAAGTGTGGGGACAAGCGAGAGAAAAGTGACCCCGCAGCCTCTGGGAGCCTTCCCAGCCAGAGCCTCCTTCCTGGTCATGAACAGGGCCTATTTGGCCAGGGCCAGGAGGAGGTTGACCAGGAGGTCCTGTGACTTGATGGGGCCATGGATGGGGTGACCAAAAACAAAAAAGTGGGTGATGAAATTTAACCAGGTGGAGGGGCTGCAGCCTGGCGTACTCAAGGCTCATGTGCAGCAGGGTCTCCTTCTGCCTGCAGAAGGGGCAGGAGACTGGGGGGGCCATGAAACTCCCATGCCCATGGCGATGGCTCCATGAAGGAGCCACCAGCTGAGGTCCCCAGTGGCTTATGAGATGAGCATGCAGTACAGACTCAGCCACTGGGGTTCCCCAGCCACGCCCTTGCTGAGCAGGATGTCTGGGTGGGATGCGAGGACATGAGGGTGGCATGATGGACAGTGCAGCACACAAACATGTAGAGGTGGCGGCAATGGACGGTGGAAAATCAGATTGGTCTGGTGTCTTCAAGCCAGCTCACGTGGTGGAGTGGGAAGTGCTGAGAGGCAGGGCGAGGCACCAGCCCCACGACAAAGTCCAGTGGGCTGGAGGACTTTGAGGGGGGGCAGGGACTGCCATGCAGGAACTAGTCAAAGGCAAGGGTGTTGGGAGGTAGGGCAGATTTCACCTCCTGGACCAGACAGCAGGTTGCATGTGCTGTGGGTAGATGCATGCACTGGCCCAGAGAAGTGGGCTCTACTCACTTTCACCTATCATAGTCCAGGAGGTCTCCTATACGGGTGACATGAGCCAGGATTAACCTCTGTCACAACTGAGGCGTCTCTGCCATTGGCACCTCCAGGTGGGGGTTCCAGAGGAGGGGCTTGATGAGCAGGTTGGTGCCTGGGGCAACTGTTGTGGGGGACCTGGAGGTAGGGACCAGCCTCCAGGCCTGGGGGAGATCCTGGTAGAAATCTGGCAGCCCCCGCAGGCCAAGGAACTGCCAGTCATATCAGAGCCCCTGGAAGTGGCAGCACAGGTGGCCCCATGCTGCATGGCTACCAACACTGTATATCAGTCACTAAAGGGCCTGAAGGCTGAATGCTAGGACCTGGCTGCACAGGCAAACCAGGCCCTGGACACCCTCCTGCAAGGGGAGGCTCAGGACCTGTGCAGTGACCCAGTGCTGTCCTGGCAAGAAAAACTCCAGGGCCCGTCTCTGCAGTCCCACCAGGACCTCAGGGGCCACAGGCAGGGTGTGTAAGTGGTGCCAGAGCATGGACAGGACTAACTCATTCAGCACCAGCACTCTCCCACGCAGGGTGAGACATCTCAGGTGCCCTGCCCATTCCCAGAGCTGCTCCACCACACTTGCCTCCAGCTGGTGCCAGTTCTCTGGCAGGGGAAGAGTCTGTGGGGGACAGGTAGA